AGACCAGCCTGGCAACGTGGTGAAACCCCATCTCTACTAAAATACAAAAATCAGCTAGGCATGGTGGCATGCGCCTGTAATCTCAGCAACTTGGAAGGCTGAGGCATGAGAATCACTTGAATCTGGCAGGTAGAGGTTGCAGTGAGCCAAGATTGAACCACTGTACTCCAGCCTGGGCAACAGAGCAAGACCCTGTCTCAAAAAATATGTTAAAAATTTTTAAAAACTAAAAATAAAATCCTCACTTATCAATAATAACAATGACTATAAATGAAGTCAATTCTCTAATTAAAAGACATAGAGCATCAGGCATGGTGGCTCACACCTATAATCCCAGCACTTTGGGAGGCTGAGTCAGGTGGATTGCTTGAGTTCAGGAGTTTGAGACCAACTTGGGCAATGTGGCAAAACCCCATCTCTACTAAAAATTTAAAAAAATTAGCCAGTCGCAGTGGCATGTGCTTGTAGTCCCAGCTACTCAGGAGGATTGCTTGAGCCTGGAAGGTCGAGCTACAGTGAGCTGAGATGGTGTCACTGCATTCCAGTCTGGGTGACAGAGACCCTGTCTCAAAATAGAGTGAGACCCTGTCTCAAAATAAAATAAAATATAATAAAATAAGTAAAAATAAAAGACAAAGAGCAACTGAATAGATAAAGCAGCAAGACCTGGCCGGGTGCAGTGGCTCACTCCTGTAATCCCAGCACTTTGGGAGGCTGAGGTGGGCAGATCACGAGATCAAGAGATTGAAAACATCCTGGCCAATGTGGTGAAACCCCTCTCTACTAAAAACACAAAAATTAGCTGGGTGTGGTGGTGCATGCCTGTAGTCCCAGCTACTCAGGAGGCTGAGGCAGGAGAATCACTTGAACTTGGGAGGTGGAGGAGGTTGCAGTGAGCTGAGATCGCACCACTATACTCTAGCCCAGTGACAGAGCAAGATTCCATCTCAAAAAAAAAAAAACAAAAAAACAAAAAAAAGCAAGACCAACTATATGCTGCCTATAAGAAACCTATTTCACCTATTAAGACACACATAAACTGAAAATGGAAATGGCAAGCTATAGTCCATGCAACTGAAAACCAAAAACGAGCAGTAGTAGCTATGCTAATATCCAATGAAATTGACTACAAAGACTTCTAGAAAAGACAAAGAAGATCACTATATACTGATAATCCAGCAATAGGATATAAATTATAAATTATAAATATCTATAAACTCAACACCGTAGTATTCAAGTATATAAAGCAAATATTAATAGATCTGAAGGGAGAGATAAGACTGCAACATAATAATAGTAAGGGACTTCGACACTTCACTCTGAGTAGTAGAGAGATTATCCAGACAGAAAACCAACAAAGAAACAGCAGATTTAAACTACACACAAGACCAAATAGGCCTAACTGACATTTACAGAACATTTCAACCAGCTGCTGCAGAATACACATTCTGTTCATCAACACATGAGACATTATCCAGAATAGATTCTCCAGAATCTTACACCACAAAAGAAGTCTCAACAAATTCAAAAAAGGAGAAATCATATCAAGTATTTGTTCTGACCACAATGGAATAAAAGCACAAATTAATAAAAAGAGAAACCTCAAAAAATTTACAAAAACATAGAAATTAAACAACATTTTCTTGAATGACCAATGAGTCAATGAAGAAATTAATACGGAAATTTAAAAATGTCTTGAAAAAAATGAAAATGGAAATACAACATAACAAAATCTATGAGATACAGCAAAAGCAGTACTAAGAGGAAAGTTTATAGCAATAAATGCCTACATCAGAAAAGTAGGAAGACTTCAAATAAACAACTTAATGTACCCCAGGAAACTAGAAAAGCAAGAGCAAGCAAAACACAAAATTAGTCAAAGAAATAAAATAAAGATCAGAGCAAAAATCTCATTACTTAGTATATAATCAAAGGAATATAAATTGTTCTATCATAAAGACACATGCACAGTACATTCACTGAAGCACTATTCATAATAGCAACAACATAGACTCAACCCAAATGCCCATCAGTGGTAGACTGGATAAAGAAATGATACATATACACCGTGGAATAGCATGCAGCCTTTGCAGGAACATGAATGGAGCTGGAGGCCATTATCCTTACCAAACTAACATAGAAACAAAAAGCCAAATACTGCATGTTCTTAATCATAAGTGGGAGCCAGGTGATGAGAACACACGGACACGCAGGGGAACAACAGACAGTGGGCCAACTGGAGGGTGGAGAGTAAAAGGAAGGAAAGGATCAGGAAAAATAACTCATGGGTACTGACTTAATACCTGGGTGATGAAATGCCCTGTACAACAAACCCCCAGGACATGACTTTACTTATGTAACAAACCTACATATGTACCCCTGAACTTAAAAGTTAAAAAAAAAATCACTTCTTCATAGCCAAAACAAAGATCAGAGTAGGAATAAATGAAATTGAGAACAAAAAATACACAAGATCAATGAAGTGAAAAATTGGTTTTTG